AGAGAGAGAGAGAGAGAGAGAGAGAGAGAGATAGAGAGATAGAGAGATAGATAGATAGATAGATAGATAGATAGATAGATAGATAGATAGGCCGAAAATCAGCTGGGAGGCGCACACATGCGCAGTGCAGCTAAGTTTGGCTGGAGCTCGCATGCCCACACAAATGTCTCTGCGTGCCACAGGTTTGCCATCACGGTGATACGTAGGTAGGTAGGTAGGTAGGTAGATAGATAGATAGATAGATAGATAGATGATTACTAGATGATAGATAGATAGTAAGAGAGAGAGAGAGAGAGAGAGAGGATAGAGATAGATAGATAGATAGATAGATAGATAGATAGATAGATAGATAGATAGATAGATAGATAGATATAGATAGATAAATAGATAGATAGATAGATAGATAGATAGATAGATAGATAGATAGATAGATAGATAGATAGATAGATAGATAGATAGACAGATTCATAACTTTCATATTGTATAATTCTCGTCATGAAATAATGTAAGTTCCCATCTGGGGCACAACAGATTAAAGAAAATACCAGAAATACAGTACTTACTTCTCTGAGTTGTCCTTTGTACTCACAAAACCCTTCCATTCCTTTAGCACACTCAGGGCAGCAAGCATTGGGCGATATTTGAAGTATTTCCCCCTGAACAGATAAATATTATGTAAATGCCACTCACGTTCTTTCAACCAGCATTTCTTTGCATTTGTATTGCTATTAATATTCTTTTTTAAAAAAGACTGATCTTACTGCCCTTCAAAACGGACTCTCCTGGGATCCCTTGTCACCTGCTGAAACTTCAACAAGTTCAGTTTTTTTAAAAAAAGCAGAACAATTAAAAATGCACCATGTCAAGTCAGAAATGCCAAAAGGGAGGCAGCCAAATGCTTCTCTGGAGGCTCAAATATTCAGATTGGAAGGTAGTAAAAGGCCTGAAAAAATAAACCATGATTTTTTTCTGGCAACGGAAAAACAATGAAGAAAGCACCTTATTTTTACTGGAGGCTATTATCGTAGGAATATACAGTATAAAGAAGGAGATTCTTCCTACAGATCTTAAGTTACAGTACCCAGATCCTCTACAACAGGGGTCCCTAACTCCCAGTCGGTGGACCGGCACTGATCCGCGCCATGCCAGAAACAGGGACGCGCAAACAAGCGAAGCCCCATTCGTGGGATGCAGGCAGCATGTGAAACCACGCCCCTTCCAGGCCCCCAAAAAAACTCTCTCCGCGGAACCAGTCCCTGGTTTCCCAAAAGTTTGGGGACCACTGCCCTATAAATCTGGAAAGTGGAAAGGAATCTCAGCTACATATCACATTCAGACAGTGTACCTACCATGCTGGTTAATTCATACTGAACAGCTTTACCTGGCACCTACATCAGAGGAACATTGTTTCATGGTATTGATTATGCTACAGTATCAGTTTGGTACTGATTGTATCAAGGACATTGGGGAAACATTGGGGAATTCTGTTTGATACGGCCTATCCATCCCAACTCTCTGACTCTTATCCCATTAATTCCTGTGCCTACATCAGAGGAACATTGTTTCGTGGTACTGATTATGCCACAGTATCAGTTTGGTACTGATTGTATCAAGGACATTGGGGAAACATTGGGGAATTTTGTTTGATATAGCCTATCCATCACAACTCTCTGACTCTTATCCCATTAATTCCTGTGCCTACATCAGAGGAATATTGTTTTGTGGTACTGATTTATGCCACAGTATCAGTTTGGTACTGATTGTATCAAAGACATTGGGGAAACATTGGGGAAACATCGGGGAACCGTTTGATACGGCCTATCCATCACAACTCTTATCCCATTAATTCGTGTGCCTACGTCAGAGGAACATTGTTTCATGGTACTGATTATATCCCTGTATCAGTTTGATGCTGATTCTATCAAGGGCAAGCAACATCATGCCCTCTGATAACATTTGGACCATATTTCTGATAAAATGCTCCAAGTATGTTGTGTCTGGATGATCCAAGACATCTGGAAAAAAGGACCCCAGGCAGGTTGGCTGAAGTCTACAACAATGACCTCAAAGGAGACCCCAGCTTGTTGACCAGCTGATCAAGACCTCTCTAGAGCAGGGGGTCTCCAAACTTAGCATGTCCAGCTGGGGAATCATGGGAGTTGAAGTCCCCAAGCCTTAACTTTATCATTTTTATTTCATTATATAAAATACAAAGAAGAAAAGAAAATAGGAAATTAAGGAAGGGAAAGGGAATGGGGGAAAGAGGGTGTAAGATACAAGAGGGAACAGAAAAGGAAAGAAAAGGGGGCATTGACTTCCAACTCGTCCCCAAGTCTTAAGTCACAAAGCTTGGAGACCTCTTCCGCCCTAGAGTTTCAATCTAGGATCTTTTCTACTTGGGGACTTGAACCTCCAACCTTCGGCATTCCAAGCAGAAGCTTTTCTCCTGAGCTTAGTGAGAGCAACTGAACAACTCAGCCTCGGGGGCCTCCCAACTCATCCAGGTCCCACGTGGATGTCCCCGGCTTGTCTTCTCTTACCTTCTCAAAGTTGCAGCGAGGGTCTCTGCACGCCACAGCTTCACACAGGACAACATCACCATGGCAACCACACTCTCGGCACGAGTCCAGCTTCCAAACAGTGGTGTTCTGCAAACAAACCATAATCCCTGGATTAAAATTCTATTTAAATAAAAAGAAAAGAAAAGAAAGAGTTCACATGGCATGCAATTATGGGACACCAGGAAAGGGTTCTGATGATTTGAAAAGGGTTTTGTGTTACCGAGGTGGACTTGGCCACTGGGATTTGTCTACTCCGTGCTGATTAATACCCATGGCTGTAATAAGTCCAAAGCTATTCATGTCATACTTTCAAAACGTGTAATCAAAAGACTCAGGTCTGCAATGAAAAGCAATCAATTTGAGCTGCAAAGTAATTGATCCACCTAAGCTCAGGAGCTACAATCTGATTAGAGCTTCTCCTCCGTAGAGTTCAGGTTTCTATAAACAGATTCAGGCTGGGAATTTAATGACTTCCAAAGGAGCATTTGATGCTTTCATTCATATTAAAATTAATGTCCTGGAAAAATTACCTGGGGTGCCGAACAGCTTCTGTGTTATGTTCTGTGTTATGCAAAGAGGCTAAAAGGATTAAGAGTTTGCTGGAGATAAGAAGAGGAGTGGTACACAGGAAGAAAATATCCTGGCATGCAGTGAACTCAGGTATACAATAGATGTCAGACCTATTTCTTATTGTCTGTAATTGATAGCAATAGCACTTAGACCAAGGGCCTTCAAACTTGGCAAGTTATAAGACTTGTGGACTTCAACTCCCAGAATTCCTGAACTAACATGACTGGAGGAGGAATTCTGGGAGTTGAAGTCCACAAGTCTTAAAGCTGCCAAGTTTTGAAGACCCCTGCTCTAAATTCATATTCATATCAAATGTGTGGCCCGAAATTAAGGCAATGAGCTTTGTACGAACACATTGGCCCATCAACATTTCTGTTGAAGTTGCTATATCCTTTTGAACTAAAATTGCTAGTATAAGTTGCTGGTAGAATTAGGCTAAATCTTGAATGATCCAGGCTAATTATACCTTGTACTGAAGATGACTAATATTTAAGGTGGTTGTTCCGTTTTCAAAAAGCAACTGGTCTTTGTTTTTTCTTTGAAGACGTTCCGCTTTTCACCCAAGAAGCTTCTTCAGTGGCAAACTGAAGAAGCTTCCTGGATGAGAAGCAAAACGTCTTCAAGGAAAAAAACAAAGAAAGCGCAGTTTCCTTTTGAAAATAGTTGGGACAACCATGACATGGATGATTGAGAATCTCCATAGACATTTAAGGTATATCATAATGTGTACCCTAACATGCAACCACTAATAGATTTGAGAAGTATTGAGGAGTGAGTGTGCCAATTGCTTCTCCTAAGCACACTTTCCTCCCCATTTCTCCTCTCATACCTATGGCTTTCTGAATGTCTAAGTACATGGATGTCTGTGCAAAGCCACTTGGTATTCAACCGGGGAATTGTAAACGAATGCTAATCTGCAACAGAGAAACAGCAGATGGACAAGATTTCAGCTCAAATTTTCTCTGCTCTAAACAGCTCTTCCTACTTAGACCTTATTGAAGCAGGCCATAGTTGTTCCGAGAGCTACTTCATATCTTCAATAAAAACTACCTGTTCCTCCCTTCCCTGTATACCTCTTAAGTGCATGGTTTGAGGAGAGATGGAGGGAGGGAGGGAGGAAGGAAGGGAAAGGGAAAAGAAGGAAGGGGGGAAGAAAAAAGAAGGGAGGGAGGGAAAGAAGGAGGAGGAGGGAGAAAAAGAGAAAAGAAGAAGCAAGGAAGGAGGGAGACAGAGAAGAAGGGAGGGAGGGAGGGAGGGAAGAAGGAAGGGGGAAAAGAAGAAGGAAGAAGGGAGGGAGGGGGGAGGAAGGAAGGAAGGAAGGAAGGAAGGGAGGAAGGAAGGAAGGAAGGAAGGAAGGAAGGAAGGAAGGAAGGAAGGAAGGAAGGAAGGAAGGAAGGAAGGAAGGAAAAAAGGGGGGGAAAGAAGAAGGAAGGAGGGAGGGAGAAAGGGAGAAAGAGAGAATAGCTTTGGTGGAAGCTAATGTTTATTTTTTAGAGAAGTGGGAATTGATACCAAAAGAAGAGAATAACTGTAGCTCAGCTGAACTGGGGCATCCTTGGTGCTCTCTGAGTTTGGTTGTTTTCTTGTGGACATTTCACTACACAACTAGGTAGCGTCGTCAGGGCATCAGTATGAAACGTCTTCAAGAAAAACAACCAAGCACAGAGAGCATCAAGGACTCCAAAGTAGGAGTTGGTCATTTTCCCATCCCATTCCATCTCTTCCAAAATGCTGAGGAAAGAACTCCAATATCTGTGGGAATTACAAGCTGGGAATGACAGGTATGTTAAGATTAACGGTATATTAATCTTACTCATACTAGCGCAAGGATGGCACTTCTCTTGGCTTGGTGTCAAAAATTCAGAAAATGCTTAATATGACTCTGCTGGCGCATCATGTCCTCCCACCCCGCTGAACAAAAGAGGAACAATTCTTTACATATTTATTTAAAGTCCAACTTTAGGTAGAGCTATGCATTATATAAAGAAATTATAAAAATAGCACTTAGAACTTATATACCGCTTCACAGTGCTTTGCAGCCTTCTCTAAGCAGTTTTATAGAGTCAGTCTATTGCCCCCAACAATCTGGATCCTCATTTTACCGACTTCGGAAGGATGGAAGGTTGAGTCAACCTTGAGCCAGTCAAAATCGAGCTCCAGGCTGTAGGCAGAGTTTGCCTGCAATACTTCACTCTAACCAACTGTGCCACCGGACGTTTCCTCTTATGAACTTCCGCTAGGAAACTGTGCAAGAGCACACCCTATTCTCATGAAATCTCCTTATACAGGTAGTGTCAGCCCTGAAACCATTTTGGAGCATCTTCAAGGCTGCCACAGCAAGACCGGTTGAAGCTGTGGGAACGGGAGGTGGGAGGTAGAGATAGCTGGGGGATGTGTAGCCAAAATAAAATTCTTTCTCCTGGGAACCATAGACGTTCTCACCAGGTGCTAAGGAGGTGAGGACTGAAGTCAACGGGAGTTGGGACTACGACCTGATTGGACCATGTGACGGACAGGTAGCCTGGGGGCAAGAACTTTGGGGTTTGATTTAGGTGGGGAAAACCTCGGGTCCTTTTCACCAGACGTGCCAACATGACATGCCCAATAAAGTCATACTTTAAGGAACTCCAGGCCTCAGAGTTTTGATTGTGTTGGGTAAGTTACTTGGGGTTGTGGTTCGCCAGCAGTCCGCGGAGACAGCAGCAGAATCGGACAGTGGGGAAGAACAGGGACCAGTCCAGGAGCCTGTGGAGGACTTGGATGAGGGTCCTGCATCTGATACAGAGATGGGACCAGGACCATCTGGGAATTATGTGCTGACTCTGGAGCCTCCAGATTCTGGCAGCAGCGAGGCAGAGGAACAAGGGGAGCCTGTTCCCAGTGCGCTTGTGCACAGAGCTGCCAGAAGGCAAGAACAGCTAGGACAAAAGGGGAGACTCAGGAGTAAGGCTTGGAGATGACTGCCCCTCCCATAAGGTATAAAGGAAGTGCAAAGGTAGGAAAACCTTTGCAGGAAGCAAAGTCGTTCACTCTGTTCGGATTACACCTTGAAGCTCTGTGTGGACTTTGTACTTCAGTTGGCTTTTTACAGTTAATTCAGCCCTTTAGTTTCTGGCAGCCATTCAAAGGAGAGAAAGGTGGGTGCTTATCTCAAGGGACTGTTTGAGACTCATTACAGGCTGGGAACGAACTTAATTCCCAGCACTGAAATAAAACAAGAGTTGTTTGGACTAAGCATGTGTTTAATTACGGTCTCAGGAAGCCTTGGTCAGAACACTTGGAACCCTGACAGGTAGTCTCAACATACAACAATTGAGCCCAAATGATGTTGATGTTGATGTTGCTCAGTGAGACATTTGTTACACAAGTTTTGCCCCGTTTTACGACTTTTCTTGCCACATTTGTTAAGCTAATCCCTGCAATGACTAACATGGTTGTTACGTGAATCTAGTTTTGACCTTTGACTTGGCTAGTTAGAAGATCACAAAAAAGGTGGCCGCATGACCCCGGGACATTGTCAACTGTCATACAAGTTAATCCATTGTCAAGCCTCCGAATATAAATCATGGGGATGCTGCAAGGGTCGTAAGTATGAAAAATGGTCATAAGTCACTTTTTTCCCCATGCCATTGTAACTTCAAATGGTCACTAAGCAAAATGTTGTAAGTCGAGGATTACCTGTATCTGAAAATCGTGCAAGAATGGGGCGTTCTTACGAGAATAGCTGTTGCCGTATATTGATGAAAACAAGGGCACCACCCAAAACATTGTGGCGTGTCACCTTTGACCCTAGTGTCACAGGTTCTCCAGCCCTACCCTAGAGGTTGGCATTCTGCTTGGCAATATGCCAATAACCCCTCTCATGTTGAGGGGAGGCTATTAGATGGCATTATATGCTCTTGTCCAACTCCATGACCGGCATAACTTTGGGGTATATCAATATACAGCTTTTCAAACGGGTCATCGCTTTCTGGCAGAGAACATCTCGTCCACCCGTATGAACCTGCAGGGAATCTTAAACTTAAATACAGCCAGAGAACCACATAAATTTACAGCCCTGGAGTTCAAGACATAAATGTTCCCGGGGAGAGGTTTCATATAGGTTTTTTTTAAAAAAAAACCTCCAATAACATAACTAGCCTTCGGTATGGATGGAGTAGCTGCACTAACAGAGGATAAGCTGAGAAAAACTGTCTCGCTGGGTCTGATTTATGACTCCGTTGCAAAATCAATTCGGGCCAAGTTATATGTGTGTCAGGCTAACTCCCGTGCTGCGTTTAATCTGATTTCTGAGTTTTAAACGAAAGAGGGGGAGAGAATGACGAAGGAAACGCAAAAGCTGTGGGACACTATGGAAGGTTTGGGGCCTTGCATATCTACCCCCCCTCCCATTAGAAGACTGGTGTTGATATATTCAGCCCTAATTTTGGCTGTTGATGTCACTCCTGTTCTTGCTTATCCCAGCGATGAAGAAAACCTAGAACAAGGAATGAAAGATAGTCCTCTACTTATGACTGGTCACCTAGGGACCA